GCACTGCCCAAATAGCAGCAAATACATGCACGTACCACGGGCAAGTCCCTTCCCACCCTTCTTAGTTAGGATATTACTTAAAACTCACTTTATAATCTTACCTGTTTTCCTCTGTATTTGTGTGTTGACAGTGGCCCCGAGTCAGGAAAGCACCTGGTACACGCTTGAGATCCAAACGTGTAGTGGCAGAGAGACGAGGTAATTCCCCACAAAATGCCTTTCCTGAATAGGAATTCTCAGGCCAAAGGTGACGAAATGATGCTTTTGTTCTCAGGCTATTTTTGGAGGGAAGAGGGGGGGAAAAAAAAAAAAAAAAGAGGAAAAAAAGGGGAGAAAGGGGGGAATAAAGTAAAGTAGAGGAAAAAAAAGAAGGGGAGGAGAAAAAAAGAAGGGGAGGAGAAAAAAAAGAAGGGGAGGAGAAAAAAAAGAAGGGGAGGAGAAAAAAAAGAAGGGGAGGAGAAAAAAAAGAAGGGGAGGAGAAAAAAAAGAAGGGGAGGAGAAAAAAAAGAAGGGGAGGAGAAAAAAAAGAAGGGGAGGAGAAAAAAAAGAAGGGGAGGAGAAAAAAAAGAAGGGGAGGAGAAAAAAAAGAAGGGGAGGAGAAAAAAAAGAAGGGGAGGAGAAAAAAAAGAAGGGGAGGAGAAAAAAAAGAAGGGGAGGAGAAAAAAAAGAAGGGGAGGAGAAAAAAAGAAGAGAACACACAGACTTCTCTCCAAAGTATTTCTTATATTCTGGGTTATATTGAAAGGGTTTGGGGTTGGTTATTTTTACATATAACTTCATTTTAATACCATAATTGCTGGTTAGGACAATAAGCAGCCATATGTTTGGGGTATATGAGAAAGTATTAAAATAAATTATAACAAATAATTTCCTTTGTATTGCTGTGAGTACTTAATTCTGACAGGAACTGGGAAGGACTCCGCAGTGCAATAAATTATAATTTCACATCTGACAAGTTCAGAGGTGCTGGGCAAACGTTTAAGCACTTGAGCAGCTCCTCCCTCAGAGGGACTATAAAGGAATTCAAAAATCCAAACATCTGCATTAAGGCACAGTGACATGACACGTTGTCTCGTCTTCAGTCACCAAAGCCCATTTCAGATGTTGCCCTTCCTTCCTTCCCTTCCTTCAGGTCCTCCATGAAAAGAGGGGAGATTGAGATGAGATGTGGGGAAGATGAGATGTGAGGAAGAAGTTCTTTGGTGTGAGGGTGGTGAGAGCCTGGCCCAGGTTGCCCAGAGAAGCTGTGGCTGCCCCATCCCTGGAGGGGTTCAAGGCCAGGTTGGAGGGGGCTTGGAGCAACCTGGGCTGGTGGGAGGTGTCCCTGCCTGTTTAAACAAAGGCTTAAAACATCTGTCAGCTCTTCAAGCTGGAATGAGAACTAATATCACACCTGCTGCAAAAGAATAAGGAGAGAAAAAGACACAGGGAGGGGAGAGAAGCGATGCATGAGTTAGTCCTGGGGATTTAGGGAGTAGGAAAAAAGAGCTTAAGGTCAATTTAGAGATGTATTGGTCGATTTTCATCAGTTCTCTCCAATACTTGAAGAAATTTAGTTTTCTCCAGAGCACAGTTAGGGTGGCAGACAAAAACAATGTATCACAATGTCATTATAAAAATAAATGAAGAATCAAACAGGCCATTTTCATTTCTTTCGTAGTGATTTTAAACAGAAAGAGCTTTATCCTCTTCAAGACAGTTACAAAAACAACTTGTTGCTGGCCGTCTTGATAGAACTTTATTGCCCCTTTTGTGAAACCAGAATCGATCACCTTCATTTTTACATGGAAAACATGTCACACAGCTGTAAGAAATACTGGATACACTTGTTGCTTTCAAGTTCCTGCAGGTATTTTAAACAACTCTATCTCAAAATGCCATTTCACAGAGAAAACAGCTTGGCTAGAGGAGATCACCCCACCATATATTTGTTTCTTATTCAGGAAGCAACCCATCTCCCTCGGTTCAAGTATCCAAGTGGATGAATGGACACCTCTGAATGGTGCTACTGTGATTAAATTTTCAACATTCTGCTGCACAGAAAGACTAGAATTATATTCCTACCAGATGTCGTGCTGGAATGGTTTTATGCTCTGCAGAGAGACTGCAGGGTATGATTTATCACCCTACCTGGAGTGAGACGACGGCCAATGGAGCGTCACCAGTGATGAACGACAATTCCAGCTGATGGGAATTTACTAAAGGAAGCCAAAAAAATGGCATCCTCACACTTGAGAGCTTGGAAAAGCAGCCTGGAGCACTGAGACCTGCCGGAATTTCTGTAACTGGTGGCCTTCCACTGTCTGCTTTCAAGGGGGGAATTTCACAGCGTCCATTCCGGGGCCCAAGGCCACACACGGTGTCACTTTGCTCATCTCTGGGAAAAGGTTTTAAAAAGATTTAAACATCAGCACGCGGTGTCACTTTGCTCATCTCTGGGAAAAGGATTTAAACATCAGCACAGCTTTACACAGACACAAATTTTCCAACTGACATAGCTTTACTTAAAAAAAAAAAAAAAAAAAGGACTCCAAATTAGGTGTTTTCAAATCCTTGTGACCTGAAACCTGGATTTCCAACACATCGGGCCTGAATCTCTCTGCTACAAGAAAATAAGAAAGATTTTTCAATTCTTTGAGAGATGAATCAGTTCCCATGTCTCAGGATGCTGTACGTAATCTGGGAGGATTCGAAATCTGCACACACCTGTTCCAGTGAAATAACTTTCAGGAGGAGTCCAGGTCTTTATTTTCGATAACAGATCAACAGAAAAATAAAAGCAGCAAACCTTGTTCACATTATACTAATGTCCCTCAAATGCCAGGACTTTTTTTTTTTCAAAATATTTAATGAAAATATCAAATATTTAAACTTACTGACCCCCACCCTTTTTATTTTTTTTTTTTTTTAACATTTTAACATTAATATTTGGGGTTTTGAAGTTCCAGTCAGCATTGCATTAACTGTTGCTCTAACAAGTGTTAATGCAGTTCCTGCCTTCCCTCTGAAGGGCTATAAAAACTTGCTGCTTTCAGGATCGAGGTAAGGATATAAATCTTGGCTCCAGGTGTTTCTGAACCACTTTCCATAATCTGAAATTAAACCAGGCTTGACCAACTCTGAATAAAGTCCAAATGCAGTATAGGTTTGTACCAAGTGAAACTATCCTGAGTATGGAAAATAAACCCAAAATTCCTGACGTATTGGCTTTCTGGAAGGCAGATGAAATCAACTTTAAAACCAGATTTAAAAACCCAGCTGTACAAGGGGTACGCAAGAGGGATGAATGAGGGCTGAGCACCATCCAGATCACATTCTCAATGGTAAGAACTACAGTAAGCAACCAAAAATTCCACCCTCAACTAACAATTCACTTTAAATTAGAACTTGCAGTTACTCTTCCAAATGTAAGTCCATAGCTATCCTGTATATCAGAAAAACACGCTTAGGGAGAGCGTAACAAAGACAAACAATGACCTTTTCAGCATCGCTCCTGGTGCTGTTTCAGTGTTACACTTCAGCTTTGCTTCATTAGAAGGAAAATTAGCTTAAATGCTCCACGGACACAGCGCTGGTGTGGACCCCCTGAATATACTCCTCTACTGTCTGCACCAGCCAAGGTCTCCCTCCAGAAAAGATTCCTGTCTCTATACATTTACAGAGGCATATATTTATATTTAGCTCAGAATGACAGAAGAATAATGGAGATTTCCACTAGAAACACCGGGAGTTTAAGATTTGGAGGCAGTAACTCAGTGAATCACAACAGCCCAGTTATTTTTAGAGTGGTTATTTTCTCATCGTTGTCATTTTGCCTCAATAGCTATAATATATTAACAATAATATTCATTTTGCTAATAATTCTTCAAGTTTGATTTTTTTTTTCTCAAGTACTTAAAACCAAACACTAACTTGGACATTTTTTCCCTTAAATAAAATACAAACAGTATTTTACATTATCTGCCTAAACTATTGTTAATGACCTTTCTTGTGCTGTTTCCAAGTAAATGATCTGTCCCCTCTCCAGCCAACAGCAGCAGTAAAATCCTCTAGTGATGTGAGAACAATGATGTGCCATTTTGTTAAAAACAGGGTAAAATCAGGAAAGGCCAAAGGCTATTGGGAAATGCAGTGTGAAATCTTAGGTTTCTTCTCAGCTCTCAACTTTTAGACCACCCTCAGTTTTGCAAAACCTCCAGGAGCATCTGAAAACCTAAAAAGAAGGTGAATCTGAAGGAAACAAGCCCCAGCCCTTTGAGGAGAGGCTGGAATAGCAAGTGTGCACATTAAAATAAAGTGGAGGAAGAAGCTACAGGGATTATTATGGATTAAAAAAACGGAATATTTACCATTTTAGAAAAGTGGCTTCTCCTGGCTCACTACAGGACGGAGATATGGAAAGCAGATCAGGTTTCTGCTTATCAACGAAATTATGAAATACTTAATGACTTTGCAAGTAAAAACCAGCCCAGCAAGTGCGAGCGGCTTTAACGAACCCGGCGACGCGTTCGGATGGAGAGCTTTTTAAGAATCTGAAGAAAAATAAAGTAGCCTAATGAAGGACAGTTAAACCGACGGCATAATTTATGTCAGATTATGTCCAGAAAATGGCATTGTCACAGTTTGACCCACCTATATATCAAAGGAGTGCTGAAGCTCCCGCCAGCAGAGGCGGTTGGGCCCAGCTGGGCTTCATTAGGCGTTTCCAGCAGAGGGCTAGACCCTCCTGCCTCTGTTGACAGATGGTTGAGTAATACTTTATTTGGTTGCTTTTCCGCAAAAAGGGCTGAAATGAAATGCTTTTGCTGACAGGAACCTTCCCAGGAACTTGGATGTGCAGCGGTACCTGCTTCTCCCAGCTCATCGGGTGCAATCTCAGCTATTTCAGTCCAGGGGCTTTGAATCTTCCTCCTTTTCAGACTCCTGAGTAGCCTTGAGGTCTCCAGCCCACAAGTTGTTAAAGCTCAGTACCAGGCAGGGGGTCTCAAAAATCCAAAGAAAGAAAAAAAAAAAAAAAAATGCATGAAGTCTTTCATACTAAACAGGCACCATGGTTAAGTGAGCTGAGTGCTCAGCCTAAAGGTGTTTATCTCTTTAATGGGAGTTTAAATGTCAAATCATTACCCAGCAGTTAAAAGCTGTGATTAGGCACCAAGCAGTATGTTACCTTCCACCACTGAGAGTATGGATTGAAGGTCCCTTTGAAGGGAGCTTGGTTTAAAGTTACAGTTTCTGCACACACATTCCTAAGAATCCATCAAGTTTATCTAGATTGGCTTTTTGTGCTTTCCCGAGAAAAATGTCTTAATTTCCTTCATGTGACACAAACACTAGATATGTGACACAAACACTAGATATGTGACACCAGCAAAGGACTCAAAAGGAGAAGCAGCGCCTTCTTCAGCATCTTCCTTTTAAAGGGATATTTAGGTGAGAAATTCCATTTAATACTATGCCTCCAATATTCTTCATCAAGCATCACAGCACATACCGAGGTAACATTCCCCCAAAACCCCCAAATTTTGACCCAAGAAAAAAGGAAGTGAAAAGATAGAATTGTTTTGCCTGGATAAATCAGGGGGAACAGGTAAAGAAACACAACTATATGGGTACAGATGGCTGCAATTTTGAAAAGGTTCTGAAGATAACAGATATTCCTCATTTTTTCTTTCAGACAATTCTCTGGAACTTCTAGAGTGACAGATAAGATACTGATAAGGCTCACTGTTAAGGAAAAACTTAGAAAAATCTAGCAGGAAAAAAAAAAAGTGTAAAAGACAACGCAAAGCTGAAGTAAACTTACAAGAAGGCTGTTAGGACACAGATTTAACCTGAAATACCCTTTTCCCTGATTTAGCTGAGCAGCTGCCGCTAGAAAGGAGGAATAGCAAATCCAAATCTGTCACAAATGCTCTGGAAGAGGGGATTATTTTGTGATATGATAATTTTGCTGATAATATTCAGGTTGTTGAGAAATACTGAGAAAGAAATATTTACTGAAAACACTACCTGAGTGAAAGAAATTGCTGACAAAGTTCAATACTGACAAACAGAAAACAAGATATGTGACAGCCCTAGCTTCGCAGCGCTGGGCTCCGAGTCGGTTATCCCTGTCCAAAATTGAGATACTGGATGTCCAGATGGGTGTAAGAGGCAAAATAGCCCTTTTTGAAACTCGCAGAGACTTTACATTTTGCTGTGAAGAACTCGTGTCTCAAAGAGAAAGTAGAAAAGGGAAAATCAGAATACAATTTATCTAGAATCCCAGGCTAACAGCTCTTCAGATAACACTAAACTGCTAGTTTCCTGCTGACCTGCTAATGTTCAGCAAGCATTGGGTTTGCACTTGAAGTTTACTGTCTATGTATTTTATCTCTATTCTTTCTCTCCAATCATGCAATTTATACACAAATATAGTCACAATTTTACCAGCAGGCTCTACTACAGCTTCCTCGGGGTATTTCCCTGCATTACCTTTTCTAGGCCACCACCTCCCTCATGGTCCACATCCTGCAGAAGGTCCACGGTGGTCTCCCTCTTCCTTTTTCCCTTTATTTTGAGAAATATCCCAAGCCACCTCATATCTCTACCAACACAACAGGGCAAGGTAAGATGAGCAGCACTTTTGCTATCCTACTTGACCGATCCTGTTTCTTTATTCCCTCTATTTCTTGCAGCTGTCTCTCTCTGAAATGCAAGGCATAGAAGTATTGGCAAGCAAAATACTCACACATTCACCTGATACAGTAATAAACACCATTCATAGTTTCTTCCTTACTGAAGGAGAGAAAAATGGATCAGCTTAAGCACAATGTTATTCCAAGAAGATAATGCAGGGGCTTAAGGTAATAGACATGCTCAAAGCTGTATTACAATAATGTGGCTGGAAACAGTGTTTCTGGCATTTCTTAAAGCTCTTGCTTTCGGCTTCTTTTTCTTTCAAATAATCGCAGAGTAAATGCTGTTTATCCGCAAATACAGGCAGCATTGATATTTTTCTTTATTGATTTTCAACAACAGGAAAAAATGAAGATAAAACTAGCAAGGAGAGGCAGCTTTGGCACCAACCACAGAAGCAGTGAGCTCTGTCTTCTCCCCCAGGTGTGTGTTCCAGACATTAAACACACCAAGCAGTTTCTGAAAGAGAAAAGCGCAGATTCAGTTTGTAAAGAAGGAAAACATTAGCAGGTCGGGTAGGAGGAAAGTAGAAAGGAGAAAAAAATAGGGGAATAAAGCTCCTTTTTAGCTACAAAAGTAGTTCTAGCTGAATTTACAATAAGGATTATGTGACATACCTGCTAATAATTATTAATTAGCTGGAATTCACTGGGCCTAGCCATAATTATGTGCAATAGTGTGTTCTTCGCTGACAGCAGGAAAACCTTTCTTATCAAGGGAGTAGATAGGCATTGAGAGATGCCCAAAATGCAAACCAGCCATTTCTACCACGATTTTAAGAAAATACTCTTGTGTATCTTCTCTTAAAAGTTAGAAAAAAAATTAAACAAATCATAGGGATTGTATCTGCAACAGGCTCAGTGCTACAAATAAGGGCCCATATGAAGAATAAAAAGAGAAAATAAAATTGAACTTCTCTTTAAAAAGAAAACCCCCACCATTTGGAAATATTCTCTGTATTGCAGGCAGCTTTATCATTTTAAAATTTAGGAAGTTAAGCTTTTTATAATAAGCTGTGTAATTTAACATGTTTACCTGAAGTTCATATTTCTAAGCTATAGAGGATTTTTATGCAGAAACAGGGCTGATTTTGTCGGCTCGTTGGGAAGTTCTTCAGTCTTTAATCTTCCACCCGAGCACAGAGGCCTCTCTGCAGACGGGCACCGTCGCTCCATTACTCAGAGCTGTTCTTATCTCCCCCAGGACCCAGGGACCCGCAGCCAACCTTCCTCCTGATAAGCCCCTGTGGGCTACTGTTATCTGGGAAAAGCAGCAAACGTCAGTCTTTGAGGGGAAAAAATGCAGCTTAAAGACTAAACTGTTTATATTGCAGTAGACACCTCTGTCTACGTTTGCCAATAAACTACATTGAAAGAGAAAACACGTATCATAATTTATATGCTTTGTTTATAGGTTCTATTTGCACTAGAAGTCAATTTTTTATTTGGTATAATGACTAACAGAGCAGCAAAAAAACCAGAATGTTCCTCTAGTAAATTATCTGCCTTAAACTCCAGGTTTTAAAGCATTATTTTTGCATGAATAGCAGGCTTGCTTTACATGGAACAGGATATTATTCCTTAAATCACTCCAAGTACAGTTTCAGTTTTTAACAGGAAAGCACCAACCCTATTTTCAAATAGAAACCTTGAATTCAGGTAAGCTTGAGTTTAGTAAAAACTCATTAGTTTTAAGGCGTTATGAAAAAAGTCAAAGGGAAGCAAGGATTAGTCCCTACTCGATTTTATCGTTTCTGTTAACGTTAAACTAAGCTATGTTTTAACCTTTTTCTTCACATATTTAAACATATTTTTCCCTTCAGTTCAGTACAAAATTCAAGGCACTGACCATCACATTCCATCCTCACCTTGACTGAAGGTCTATGAAACCCTTTGAAAAGCCTGCAAGAAAATACAGAGTGTGCCTTACAGAGGAGAGAAGGATGGAGCAGAAATGGCTGTAACTCCTTCTGCTCGATTTCACAGGCTTGAAAATAACTCATTCTGTGCACTAATCGCTATTTTAGCAGCCAGCTTCTTACTGTGCCTGGGCTTGTCTTTCCTTAACGACCTGTTTATTTCTCCTTTTTCACCCCATTACAAAAATGAAACAGTTTAGAAATCATTGGAAAGCATTTAAAGATTAATGAAAGTGACTGAATGTTGCTAATTCATTGATTAAAGGAGTGTTTGGTGTGCTTTACAGAGCGAGGAATAATGACAGCATTTATTCATCGTTAGACTTGCTACTACAATGTTTTATTACTACATGGCCACGTAGTCATGGCTGTCTTCTTAAGAGAGGCAAAGAAATATACGGACATATATCAGAACACACAGCTCCAGCTGGCCTGTAACACCTTAAAAAAAAAAAAAAAAAAAAGAAAAACACACCCAAAAACTCCAACAATGCTTTAGTTCTCATTGTATTCGAGGTGGCTGTGATGGCTGTGATACAAGGTCTGACCTTATATATATCCTAAAACGTCACAGCACTCAGAAATCACCAGAGCAGCCCTAAAGGAGGTTGGGAAGAGCCCCTCCAAGGAGGCACTAAAATAGGAGACAAAGTACCAAAGTCCTCACTCACCTCATAAATCATCAAAGAGGCGAATTAAGCTGTGCAGGCAAGTTATTAACATGAAAGTCCTTAGTGGTGAAGGGACTTTCAGTGCCCAGGAAACTGCAGGTGATGCCCAATGAGTATCGGAGTTATATCACACTCAACGGAGAAACCCAGATAATTAGAGAGAGAGGATCAGGGCAGGACCTGGTAGGAAAGAACAGGGCTCATGGGTGTGACTCACCAGTAAAGACATCCCTCTGACAAGCTTCTGTCCTAGTGACTGGTTGATCAGCTAAAATATGCCCAAAAAAGGCTGGAAAGCAAAAAATTGACTTCACACGGCAGCGAAAGTAAAATAGCGAAGACTTTTCACACTCCATCTGGATGGAGTCAGAGAGGGCCTCACCCTGAAGAGCTTCAGTAGGGGCCTCAGCAAAGAAGGAAAAATAAATATACCAATAGAGAGCTTATATTAAAATTTGCATTAAATTTGTATTTAAATATTAGCAATGCACATTGGACTATAATTTTATTTTTTTTAGAGACCACAATGAACATTGGACCATAAATTGTTTTGTAGAGAAACAAAAACCCCCAGCATGCCCCCCCAGGCCCTCAGTACCCCTCGCCAATCATGCGTGTGCTGGACACGAGCTCCTCCTTGGCCTTGCTGTGGGTGTTCTGAAGTGTGAGATGTTGATATTTTTGTTTTAACAGAGCACTGAAGGTGATCTGATGGAAACATGGAGAATGCAGAGGGGATGACCTAAAATCCTGGAAGCAGAACAATAAAAAAAAAAGGCTTTGACCAGAAACACCAGTTCAGATTCCAAGCCCAACCACCTCCCTTCCAAAGGGATGCAGCCTCATTTTCTTCCCTCGAGTGAAAAAAAAACAGTTATTTCAACACCTTCGTTTTCACACCACTGCTCACCAGTTTCCCAGTTTGAGAGGGGTTCCTGGGTGGAATGTTTGCCGAACTTCTGAGAAGGGCTGGAATCTGAATCATCACTTCTCTTTCCACACATCACCTTTGAAGATTAAGTCGGAATCATCATTTTCCATTGGTGACGAGAAGAGCTATTCCATTGTATTACCAGCGTGACCGTCCCGCTACACTGCATTTTCCCCACTCTTTTAAGCTATTTTAATTTCAAATGGCTCTCAATATTGGCATAGTTTTCATTAAATGCACTGAACCTAACTTTTCTAGCATTATTTAAATGGAACATGTCCTGCTAACACCTGCTTTTGGCTCATCCAGAGCCTTTTTCCCCCGCCCCGCTTCCCTCATAGTTCCATTTTTGTCTCCCCCAGAAGTATCTCCTGCTACACGGCCGTTATTTCAACCAGGAAATTTCAACCTCCATATTCTGGGCATACATTTTTGAAGGCCGTAAACATCCCGCCAAGGGCTTCAGTTTGCTCTTTTCTCAAGAGCACGTCTCTCCTTAAGCCAGAAGTGATTCATGGGTCACGATGATGAGCAAGACCATCAGAAAACTCACTTAAATCAAAACCCAGAAGTACCTCAAAGCCATGCCTGTAAGAAAAATACTGTCACTCAAGGCCAAAGTCGTGACATTAACTGTGAAATAACTGAAGATGTTCATTGTTTTCAGTGTCCTCCCAATTGGTAGAACAATGTCTTTTCTTTTTCATGCTAAAATAACATAATGGTAGCATCCCTTCCCTGCAGAGAGGTGAGGCAGTTTTATACGGCAGAGAATTTACTATCAGTGCATCAACGTGGTATTATGCAAGTCAAAGTCAGTTTCAAATTAAAAGTTTTAACAGTTTTTAATATGCCCTTCAATCACAAAATATGTAGAGCAATAAATTGTTTTCTGGCTCATCTTCATGTAATATAGAGAATAAGGAAATGTTCCAACAGTTCTATACGACAAAACCTACAGAAAACTCGAGTCACTGGTCTTAAACTGTTCTAAAAGGAATTTGATAAAGTATTCAGGCTCCCCCCGTATCAGCACCTATTTTTCTGTAGTTCGCACGAAAGCACAACTATTTTATCTGAAATTATCACAGCTGTCAACTACTTTTATAACTACAAGAAGCCGGAGCTTAAGTTACTACTAATACATGAGCTCAAGCAAGTTCATGAACTTCCCCTGTAGTTCCTTCCATGGGTTCCGATGGAATGGTTTCAATTAAGAGAACTCTTAAAATCAGACTACGGTTTTTTTTTCCCCCCTAAGTAATTCTCCAAGTAGGCACAAACAATGACCCAAACCCCGCAGAGCTCTCAGGAGGAACACAAGGGGAACCACTTCACCTTCCAGCTGGAGAAAGCCGACAGAAAGAAGTTACTATAAGTGACGGATGCAACGATACGGGGATAAATTCTCTTTAATCCCAGATCCCAAGGGAGTCTGATAGGGAAGACACGGCACTTCCAGCTTCATCACCTACAAACAAACGAACGTGTGCTTCTAATAATAACTGGAGAGCCTTCATGGATATTAAAACTCATTTGCATTGATAGCAACGAAATGTTTCAAACTCCATTCATTATATTGCTTGGCTTACCCCCTTACAGTTAAACTCAGGGTGAGAGGAGGATTTGTGTCCTATTTTTATAATATAGTGCAATCTCCAATATGAAATATTACTTTAAATGCCTTACATGTGCCTACATGTTTATTGCACAATACGAAAGGTTTCCAAACACATTCCCTGAGGAGCAGGTTTGCTTTTGCCTGTACATTTTATGGTCATTTTACACAGCAACAGGGGAGAAGTGTGTTTGGTGTTGGGTTTTTTTAAACACAATGAAAAAAATACGCCTCCGAATCAACAAAAAATGGTCAGGGGAAAAAAAAATAATAATCAGAAGCACATGTAATAAATAGGGCTGTTTTAACACTTGAAAACTGACCCGATTCCAAAACATAGATTCCCTTTAATCCTATTTTTCATGACTTTTCAGACACACATTTGCCCCTTCATTAAGCCAATTCGAACATAAATTAAAGAAAGATGCAATAAACAAGTTTCCACGAATACGTACATGGGGTTTCTGCACAGGAACATCTTCACTCCTTGCTCAGCAGGAGCCCAGAGAGCAAATCCTTCACCAGGACCACTGCAACTCAAGCCATTCCCTCTCCTGCTGCCCAGTGAGAGCAGAGGCTGCTGCTCCAGCTGAGCCCCCACACACCAATGCAGCGTCCTGAGCTGCATCACAGAGATGATGCAAATGGAAAAGAGAGAAAAAAAGAAACAAAACTCACAATAAAAACCCCCAGCACCCCTCAGGATGTATTTTCAGAGAAGTATACTTGTCTCATCAGCTATGAAATGCAGTTCACAGCACAGTCAGAGGGGAAGGTGCAGCAGCAGGAGGAAATCCCTTCATCTGCCAAAAAACTCCAGCTTTAGGGAAACTCTTCTCTGCAGTCACAGAAAGTATTGGAGGAGCTTTAACAGCAGCTCTCCAAATCCTGGTTCATATTTCAACATGTGCTCAGTGAAGGCAGGAGGGGAACAGACGTACAAGTGGGAAAGTTTATGAAGACCTTGCAGGATGTTTTAGAAATATATATTAAGAAATGCATTTAGAAATAATTATATTTCTAATTAAAATACCCTGAGGCATAATATTCATTGATGTCTCTTATGCTAAAAAATGAATGGTTATGAACCTAACGTTAACTCTAGAATCAGCAGAAATATAATTTTGCTATTGTGCTGTGTGGCATATGAAATTTCTTTTACACTAACTGGAAAGGTAAAGGGGAAGGGAACACCAACAGACATTGCTGTTAACCTGGAGCAGTTTATTTCACAAATAGCAAAACGCCTCACTATTTCCAAACCAAGCACCTGCTCTGAACAGACTCTAACGAGGATGAGGTCTGTAACCATAGATACAACATCTTGCTCTCTTAAATAAGGTCACATTGAATAAAAAAGGTCCTAAGTGTACTACAGCTCCTGAAATACACCATAGGATGCTTGAGTGCAGGAATATCAGATTGAGTACCACTTCTTTTCCCCATCTGGAACACTCAAGCCACGACTGTTTTAACCAGAACCCTTGTATTGATTGCATCTTCCTAATTATCCTACAAAAACCACAACAGAGACCTCTATTGCTTCTGTGGTATCTGGGCAGATTTCTGAGCAACACACTATCATTAAGCAATTTTTGCAGATCTAATACCTCTCCCAAATAAAGCATATTTTGCTGTCTGAGGTTTATAAGTGAACTACTTAGATTTTCACCACGTAGAGTTAAAAAAATATCCCAGAAAGAAACTGAAAAGGAACTACAGGTAGCACAAAGTGTTCAGAAAGGTAACAGCAATGCCAAATAAATAATATATTCCAGATTAAAATTACAGCCACAACTGTTTGAAATGATGGCTAACTCCCAGTGTCAAAACAAGCAGCTGATAGAAAAAGCTGGTTTAGCCCCCCGTTCACTGATGATTAGTGAAGAAATTTAAGCATCTCTAGTAAAAAAAATCAGTAAATTCCACAAATATCAGTAGCTTCTGATGCATTTTGATCATCTTTCTTTTCTCTCTCTCCAGAAAAACTAACCTTTACAAGACAAGAATGCACTTCTCAAACTTCAGTGTGCCCATATCTTTTTAGCTTTTTGTTACTATAATAAAATAAAAATAGACAGAATAGATCAGACAAAAAAGCCAATGAGCAAGGAAAGAAAGGGGAAAAAAGGAACAAAATAGCCACTAGAAAAACTGGGGGTTTGTATGAGCAATAGGGTTGTGGGGTGGCTGGATCACAACACAAAGTTTGCTGTGAAGCCATCTGGGCGCCAGACAGCTCTCCCCACAACTCAACACATACTCTTGGTGAAGGAATTAAAAAAGAATAGCTCATTTGAAAAAAGAAAAAAAAACCAAAAAACTATCACCTATTTGATCCTCCACGGGGAGAGAAGCTGCTCTCATCAGGCTCAGCTAAACTGAAGTCACAATGCCTACCTGCTACCAGCAGCTTAAGCTAAAAAAAAATAAAAAGAATAAAAAATTTAATATATATGCAGTATTTTTTCACATTGGAATACTTCTTCAAAACTCTGTAATAAATACACCGCATTAATTTCGTTGCTCTTATTTTCTGGTATTTTTACATTAGAATTCAAACAAGGTGGCTCTTACTAATCACTGCGAGACTGACGGGGAAGGAAAAGCAAGTAACCTCCCT